GAGGTGAACGTTGTCCCACCTCACTCATATTCGCTTCTGCCAAGGACACACCACACATCATTGCACCACACATAGACGCACAGCAAACATACAACAAGGAGCAACAACATAGAGAGAGGAGCCATATGAACAATACGCAGTAGAGGTGAAAGCAAAGAGAGAGATATACATACGGTCAAGGAAAGAGACACTGCAGAGTGGAAGGAGGAGGAGTTCAAAAGCAGGAGACGTGGGAGTGAAGGAATTGGATGACATATTCTCTTCTCTTCCCCACTCAACCCGGCTCATGCCCCACCATACCACCCTTTATCTCCTCCGATTCACACTGTACATCATACATGCTCGGATGCATAGCAAGTAATGACTATCTCTTTTTGTTCTTCTTTCCACCTACAGAAGCAGCTGTTGCCGCGCTGGTCTTATGGCTGCGTTTCTTCCCACCCCCTGCTGGCATCCTGTGTCTCGCCTGCGTAACTACAGCAGCAGCAGCAGCCTTCTTTCGCGTTGCCGGCACCACCGGCGGGCTCTTTTTTCGCGGCTTGCTGTGCTGCGACTTTGACTGTTGCTGCCGTAACCGTTGTCGGTTGCTGCTGCTACCACCAGTGCTAGTACTGGCCTTTTTCTGAGCATCCACCTTTGGCTTTTCGTTCTCTCCCTCTCCGGCATCCTCCATGTCTACGTCATCCTCGCTACTCAGCGACACATAGGGTCCCCCACCACCGCCTTGCCGCCGCGGTGGTGCACCGGAGAGTGTCGATGTGACGATTACGTCACTGGCCTTTCCACCAGGCTGATCTCCTGCTGCTGCTGATGATGATGATGGTGTGACAATGTCATGCAGCCATGCCAGTGCATCCTCGTTGGCCGTCATCGGCGTCACCGGCATCGCTTGCTGTGTGCTGTTGCCGTTGTTGGGGTTAGTGGCTGTGGTAACAGTGACCGGTATGTTGTTGTTGATGGCATCCTCCATTGCCATGTCGTTGAGCAAGGCGGCGTGTGCCGTGTCATTCGTGGCCCTCTCCTCCTCACGCTGCTGCTGTGGGTCGGCAAAGGCGTCGTTGAGCAGTGCCTCCAGCAACTCCGCCGACTCCTGGACATGCTCAGCGTCGGCAAAGGACTCCGTCGTGGCCACCTCCCGCGTCAGCGCCACGTCCCGCCGCATCTCCTCCACCTCGGCGCCGCGGAAACCCTCCTCCTCCTCGTCGTCCTCCAGCAGATCCATTAGCAGTGTGTCGGGCGAGACGACCTCCGGCGTGTACGCGCGCAGCACCGTCGCGTCCGGCACGAGCTGCATGAGCGTTGTGGAGAGCAGCGACTCCAGCTCCCCCTGCGACGCAACCACGTCCTGGTGCACGTACACGCGGTGCGTGCTCTCGAGTTCATCGAGTAGGTCGTTCAGCGTGCGGTACTCCTTGCTGATGCCGAGGGTCTCCTGCAACGCACGCAAGCGGTCAATCACGTCGTCCTCGAAGACGGCGCTCATGTCGAGGAAATACGGCACAACAGGCGAAGGCGGCGCAGCAAAGACGTCTTCAGCAGCAACAGGCGAAGCGGCACCACCTGCAACAGCGGCACCGCTGTTGCCACTACTACTACTACTGGTACTACCACTATTAATGCCGCTGCTGCCACCACCGCTCAGTGCTATTGAGGATGTTTGATCAATTGAAACCACACTAACGTAATGGAGCTGACGAATCTTGTTTTGCGGTAGAACATTCTTCTCTAGGCAGTGCAGCACACCGAGAAGTGCCTCTGCAAAGCGATAGCTGATGTCTTGCAGCGCCTCGGGTGTCGTGACGAGATCATACAGTGCCAGCGTTGTCCCCGCAAAGGAGACGACGTCACAGCCTCCGTTAAGCCCAACACTTGGGCGGAACGGGAAGTGGGTCTGCTCCATGTGCGCGAAGAATGTCTTGTACGCCGCCACCGCTTTGCGCACAATATCTTGTGTCGCCTTTGTCACCACTGGCTTTGTGCATCCCTTCTGCTTAGTGCGTGTCGCCGATGCGAGCAGTGGGAAGCCGTACGGGGGGATCTTTAGATTTAGATTCATCTGCGCCCCCGAGACCGCCACATCACGCAACAGCAGGGCACCGTGCAGCAACACTCGCATCGCGTCACGTTTCCGCTCATTCGTGGTGCCCATGGTATTTACAACGCCGCAGTACTCGGCCCAGACCTCACCCCACGCACGCACCACCGTAGACTCATGCGGCGCCTCCAATGGGTCCTGCTGCGTGAAGATTGTGAAGAGCGCGAACGGGTGCACCTGACTTGTTGTGTGACTGTGGGGAACAATGAACCCATCCCGCTCGTCCTGCATCGTTGTGTCTACGCCCGTCGTAAGGTACCCTGTTGGGCTGCTCAACTGTCGCTGAAGCAGCTCCACAAGACGCAGACGCGCCTCAGGGAGGTTCTGCAGCAGGTAGTTGCGCTGCGGCAGCTCTGCAAAGAGCTCTGTCGGGACGTAGCTGCGCAGAAGCGGGTGAGTCCCGCTCCACTGCATCAGTCGCGGAGCACCACCACGGAGGTCCATCGTTGCTGCACGCCCCGACCAGAACACCTCGAGCGTGTAGCCAAGAAGTCCAGGGCAGTTCTTGAGCACCTCGTACATGAGTCCAGAGAACTCAAGACGCGAGCGTTGATGTAGGGCATACAATACCGATACAAGAGGCAGCACGCGCATTCGTTGCTGCAGCCCAATGCCATTTGCCAGCGGTATAAAGTAGCGACGTACAGGGGCATCCGCGTGGGCGAGAAGAGTTTTGCTAACGCGATGACCGGTGAAAACCATATCTAGTTGTCCCACCGCGACAGTCACTTTGGCTAACGCAGCCTCTACTGTATCCGTCGGACAAGGTGCGTGCTGCTTGAAGTGCATCATCGCTGTCAGCGACGATGCCCCTACTGCGTATCCCCCCTTCTTGTTGTTGCTGACGTTGATGCCATTGCTGTTGTTGTTGCTGTTGCCTCTCTTCTTATCAGTCCTATTCATAACGTTTTGGCTTGCCTCTGCAGCGTCCATCGCCTCTTCCCCTGCTTCAGCTTCTGTGGCATACGCCGGCAGCGAGTGAAAGTGCGATGCACCATTCAACCTCCCAACCGTAGCGGCATTGATCCGACCCTCCATGGCATCCAGTACGCGGTCAAAGTCATCTACGAGAATTGCGTGGAGCGACGATGGCGCCCCGTCGCGGTGACCAAGCAAACGAATGCGGTTCTGGTACAGCTCCCACGACCAGTTTCGGCGGTTGGCCCACCACATGACAGACTTTGGGGCGCGCGTGAAGAGCTCTTCGGTGCGCACCAGGTACGGACACGATGCGAGTGCAACACGGAACCAAAAACGTGCGGGCAGAGCGAGTGGGTGGTCATCGAGTCCGGGCGTGAACGGCGTTGCGGCGCCGCTGTACCGCACCGTAACGGCTGTCTTGCCGCCCTCCGCCATGCGTTTTGAGAGCCGCTCCAGCACAGATGTCTTGCCGCACGAATGACCCGCCTCAATGAAGTGCAATGGCTTTGCAGAGGAGGCGGAGTCATAGTAGCAGTTCAGCACCGACCCCAGGCGGTCCTCGACGAGCTTCGCCGTACCGAAGAGCTGCTGCAGCCCCAGCGCCTCCGCCGCGTTGAAGCCGTTGCGGTACTCCCTTGCCCCCTTGATGGTGTCAAACAGGGTGGTGCGTGCGACGCGAAGGGTGTGCCGCTTCAGGCGGTGCAGCACGGAGAAGTACTCATTCTGCACGGTGTCAGGCGACCAAATCCCCATCGACGGTGACGGCGGCGGCTGTGGGAAGCCGGGCCACTCGCCGAGCGTCACGTTGTAGTTTGTCGTGCCAGCTAGAAACACACCGCTTGCCAGGGTTGGCGCCGCCACACTCATTGACGCATTGTTGTTCGTCGCCGGCGTGTCAGTGCCGACAGAAGGATACAAATCTGAATCGTACTTCTCGCATTCATCCACCTCACGGTCCCCAGTGCTATGAAACACAAAATAACGCACCGGCACACTCTGAAGTTGTAGCACCGATGACGCTTGTCGTAGGAGCCCAGGGAGTCGCTCCAGCGCGAGAAAGCCGTAGTCGCGCAACGGGTGCAACTCCTTCGGCATGTTTGGCGTCTGCGCCTCCAACACCTTCAGCAAAGCATCGCTAAGCGTGGCATACGCCTTCTCGCGGATCTCTGCTTCTGCTTGGCTATCAAGTGGCACCTTGGCCACTCCGTTGGCGCCATGATCAGCCTGCCGCTGAGCCATGTATTCCTTTCGCACGCTCGCCAACACCTTCCTCGCGAGACGGTGATAATGCTCCAGGGTGCAGACTTGCCCCGAACTTGTGGTCGATGCGTCACCATCCATTGCAGCCATCGCGGGCTGCTCTGCGACCATTTCTTTCGCTGATGCCGTGCCAGATGCGGCAGTCGCACCTGCGGCTGCAGCGGAAGCAGATGCGGTAGGCGTAGCTGCAGCTGCTGCCTGCTCCACCGTAATGTTTAGTCTTTCCAGGATAAACTTTCCAATTATATCTGCTGCCCATAACACCAATGTGTTCTCATACAGATTGCTTGTGTTCACTACTTTCGTCACTTCATCCACATATGCCTCTACGCTTTTTTCCACAGCAGCGTCCAATAGGCTTCGAGTATACGAAGAGACTTTCACCAGTTCCGGCTGCTCTGCCCACTGGTACAGTGTCGTGATGCCAGCCTGCTGCAGTGCCCGCATGTCGTAGTATGGTGACTCTATCTCCAGCCGCGCTACCTGCTTGTAGTGTGTGCTATCAATAAGCCACTCGTGCCACACCTTCTTACCGCTGAGTGCAACGAGCTGTCGCTTAGGCTGCATTGCCACAAAATCTGTAAGGGAGACATTCTCCACTCCCTCCGCATTAGGGTCTATGAGAAGACGCACCACATCTGGTAACATCTCCGCAGCGAGGGAGTCGTCGATCTTCACAATGTCGCCGATGCGTGTGTCTAATGTGGGTCCCGCAAGCACTGACATTCGGCGCGCCGCCGTAGCACGCATAGGACCACTATGTCCAGCAGAGCTCTGCAGCACACCGCCACCACCACACCCACCACCAACGCCACCGCTGAACCCCACTATAACGCGGGCCGCCTCCGTGGCTACCCGTTTTGACGCCGTTCGGCCGTCGAGAATCGCATCCAACTCCGCGGGTTCTGCGAGCAATCGCACCGCTGACGTTGCTGTAACTGCTTCTGATTCCGTCGTCTCAGTCGTCATGGACACTGGTAAAGCGTCGGGTGTCACCACCGTTGCCGTAGACAGGTGCGGCGCTGCTGTCTCGCAAAACCACGGCAGTCGCGGGGCATGAATGCCGGGTGGGAGGTACGAGAACTGCTGTATCCCCTTTGACTGCTGCACATGTCGCTGACTGACTCCCACAGCCTGCAGCCGTGCTGTTGAGAGTACCGGCAGAGTGATACGGCGCCGTAGCATGCGTCTCCTCTATGCTTGGCCTATATATATATATATATAGATATATATATATATATGTACGCACCAACTGTGCACCGACACTCGATGAACTGGCAAGAGGGGGAAATCACAACACATCATATACAGGAGGGGAAGAAGAAGAAGAAGGAGGGAAAACTTGGAATGCAGAGCCCTACACAGTCAGGGAACAACATACATGCCCTCGTGTTTCGAAACACTCCCTCACGCCCATCCATTCGCTCTCTCCCTCTCTCACACCGGCCAATCATGCATTCAGATGGCAACAACAACCACGATACACCATTTCTTTTCGTTTGTATTACTACCGCCAGGCCAAAAACCATCGCCCCCGACCCGGCACTCCTCACAACTAAACGACAAACTTGTACGGCTTTCCCTCCATACCGGGCAGAATCACCTCCGCATTCTCCCAAATCTCTGCCGCCCGCTCCTCATCGCGGCGGGCATCCTCGATGCGGCCCAGTGCCTCACGCGCCTCCGCGCGAAGTTGGAACAGCGTCGCACACCGCTTCTGGTTCACAAACGACAGCGCCCGGGTGAGGTCGTCCTCGGAGCGTTCATACGACTTGAGTTTGCAGTATACCATGCCACGCGCTGCGAGGACCGCGCCGACGGCTTTGCGATGCCGCTCCTTCTGAAGGTCCGCGCCCTCGTTGATGAAGGACATGCAGGCGGTCAGGGACTTGAGCGCCCCACCCGGGTCGTCTTCGTAGACCTGGATCTTGGAGCGTGCGTACATCGCCATGACGAGCGCCATAAGTTTGTCGAACTTGGCGTCCATGTCGACGCCGAACTTTTTCTGAATGTGCGCACGCACCTTTGGATGCTCGAGCCACTTCTGAAACATGTCAATATCCCGCATGTAGCGGTTGACGAACTCATGCGCCTTCTTGTAGTCGTGGTTTTCTTCCACGATCATGTGGGCGCCGTGCAGGAGACCCCAATGAACGAACCCGTTGAACTCCTGGCGCTGCTGCATGTTCTCCTCCCCGTCCCGCTGCGGCGCGAGGAGGTAGTCGACCTGGTCCTCCACCAGCAGCGGGTTGCCGAACGCCTCGAGCCGCTTCTTNGAGCCGCTTCTTGTCCTCGTCGAGCGCCTTCTGGATGTCGAACATCACCTGCCCGTCCACGAAGCCGTCGTCGTCGATCTCGTCAATCGCGGGGTCGAAGCTCGGCGGCGGCACGAAGCGGCGCGCCTCGTCGAAGACCTCGTCGCTCATGTGGAAGTCGGGGTTCAGAAAGAACTTATCCTCCGCGTAGCTCAGCTCCAGCGGGCGGTCCGGGCTATTTACCTCCTTCATCTCCGGCACAAACATGCCGTCCAGCTTCTTCTTGTTCTTGTCGAAGGGCGAGGCGAACATGCGGCCCGACCAGTTCTGATTCTCCTCCGGCCACCACCGATCCATCTCCGACGCGGCGGCGTGTGCCGGCGGCTCCTCACCGCGGCGCTG